GCATTTTTAAATCAGCTTTAGTAGGGACATTTCAGGAGTTGGAGGTTTGTCGTGTTGTGGTTAGAACCCAGCCCTGTCAGGGATGGTGAGGGATGGTGGAGTGATCAGGGCACAGCCAGTGTCCTGATCTGCACCGAGTGTTAGTGGATAAACTGTGATCCCCTCCTGGGGTGAGAGTGCTGCTGGGCAGGCAGGGACATCCTGCAGCCTCCTCCTCATGTCTGGACTGAGAACAGCACCTGAATTTCTCACATTTCCACAGCCTGTCATCGTGGCTGGGGCCCGTATGACACCGGCGGCCAGCCCTGCCTGCACTCCAACACGTTCACTGCGTGTCTCCTCGAGGTGAGTGCTTGCTGGCTTGGGAGTGTCCCTCAGGAACGATTCCTGGGAGTGGGAATGACACCAGGATGTGTGCCTGCATCTCCAGCTCTGCCGTGGTGCCGTGGCACTGCCATGGAAGTGTGGGGTGTGCTTCCCAGGGCAGCTTTCGACTCAGGAGCCCACTTGAAAACACACCTTTGGATCTGCCGTGCAGGCAGTGCCTGGAGGTGTCACATCACCAGGGGCTGTGCTCAGCCGGTCCTGCAGCACCCAGCACCCCCTGCCACCACGTGCTGTGGCAGTGTGGGTGTCCCTGTGGCAGCCAATGGGTCAGCTCTAGTGGAAATAGAGTCCAAATTCCTGGGGTCAAATGCCAGAATTTGTGCCTTCACTGGCAGACACAAAGGGCTCTGTTTCTTTTATTCTTCAAGGAATAAAAGGCTGGTGGTGGTGGTGGCATTTGTGTGCTGATCTCTGTGAGGCTGCCAAGATCCCTGTGCCTCTCCTTGTTTCCCAAATGTTTGTGTGATGCCGTGTCCCTCCTGGCAGAGGGCTGCAGCTGTCTCCACCTCTTCAGGACTGACAAAACCAGCTCCCAGCAGGGCTGGCAGGGATCGAGGGGGTCAGGAACTCCCACCTTGTTGCTCTCCCAAACTCGTGCAGCATGCAGGAGCAGCTTGCAGGAACAGCTCATGGCTCATGTGCAGGAAGTCCTGCAGGATGGCAGAGAGCTGAGAGGGTGCAACAAAGCACATTTTAGGTGTAAATCTGATACAAAATAGTCAAATACATCAAGTGTCTCTTAGATGAGTTCTGCTGATGAGAGCTCATTCCTCTTTCCAGTGTTTGGGGAGAGAAGTGGGACACATTTCCTCCTGACTTGTCCCTTTTTTTCTTGCTGTCCTCCAGCCAGCCCTGCCCTGCTGCTGTGATGGGGGTTTTGAAAGGGGCTTTTCCATCTGCCTGGAGCCATGGGTGCCTCCCTGACGTGTTTGAACATCTCCACCCAGACCTGCACCAAAACGGGGCCCCTTTTGTTCTGTCCCCCACCAAAGCAGGACAGAGCCCGTGTCCCTGTGCCAGTGGCTCTGTCACCATCTCTGTTCTGGTTCAGTTCTGGCTGCCAGGGCAGTGTGGTCAGGAGCGTGGCTGGCACCACCAGGGCCCTGCCAAGTTCCCTGTGTCCCTCCTGCTGTCCCTGCCATGCCTCTGGGCTTGGCTTTGACCATGCTCCTTGTGCTGGGTGGCCTTTGCCCGTGGCTCCTTGTGGTGCCAGCAGCATCTCGTCCCTCTGCTGCTCACGGGGTGACTTTGGTGTGTGGTGGCCACGGCTGATCACTTGGTTGGTGTTTTATAATCACACCCTGTGTGTTTCTGATGAAGTTCTCCTCTGGCTGGCAGGGCCCATCGTGGGGGATGGAGGAGGACTGCAGGGAGGGAGGAAGGGAAAGGCATCTTAAAACACAGATGTGACTCATCCTGTAGAAATTCAGATTAGAGTTTGCTGTTTTCTAGAAAGAGAACTCCAGAACAGCTTGCTTTTTGTTAATTTATCTCCTGAAAGATCATGTTCAGGAATAATGGAAGAAGGGGAAATATTTCAAGATTTTCTGTGGATGCTAAATGTAGCCAGCAGAGAACTTCATCCTACTGCACTGGTTTGTTTTGTTTGTAGCTGCAAGTCATCAAAGCGACCTTACTTTGGGTTGTCTGTTTGTTTTGATTGATGAATTGCCATCTGTCCACCTAATTCAGAAGGCCAAACTGCATAATACCTTGATTGAAATGTCCAGCTGAATTATTGAAATCCTACAGACCAAAAGAACTTTCCCTTTTGCATTGACATTCCCTTTAGAAGCAGATCTTGGAGTTGCTGAGTGTGATTTTTTAGTGCAGTACCAGCTGTCGTGAGTGATGTGTGCTTGTGTATGCACTGGGCTGGTGGGATGGATTTCTGAGAGCAGGTCCAGGAGTACATTCTGCCTTCCAAGCTAATGGTGCTTTTTATTCCAAGTAGCACTGAAAAGCTGGAGTTTTTTCCTTGCTGAAGGAAAAGTGTAGTGCAGGATGTTGCAGATTTGCTGTCTCCAAGCCCACTGAGGAGCTCTGTGTGTGAAAGCAAAGCCAACAATGCAGAGTTTCTTGGGATGAGCTGGGAATATCCACTCACCCTGATGGCACCACGTCCCCCAGATGGACTGTGCCAGCTCAGGAGAGAAGCTGGGTGGCAGCAAGGGACATGGAGAAGCTGCTCAGGCAGGGTGATGCTCAGCCTGGATTGCCTGGAGCCTCTCAGGCTGTTCTGGTGAGCACAGGTGGAATTCCTGTGGGCAGGAAAAGTGCAGGCCCCTCCTCTGCTCCTGCCACTGGGTGGTTTTTAGTGGATTGTGCATTTTTTGTTGCATTTGTGGAGTGGTTTTAACTTTGTTGGGCCCTGGAGTACCAGGAAACCTGGTGACAGGCAGGGAGAAGTGAGGAGCAGCCAGAGCATCCATCCCCAGTCTGGGATGCAGGATGTTGGCTGATCTACCCAGAGCAGTGGAGCAGTAAACATGGGCAGAACCAGAGAGCAGCATTGCACCTCTGAGTTATTAAAAAAAAAAAAAAGAGAAAATCCCACTGTGACAGCCGTGAGGAGCCCTGGGTGGGACTCAGCCCTGCTCCTCCAAGAGGGGGCTGCCACTGTGTGTGTGTGTGACATGAAGTGCCTGAGCTCCAGCTCTGATTCAGCTGTGCTGGCCTCAGTTTAGAGCAGAGCTGAACAAAAAGGGATTCTGTGCATTTCTGCTGCCTCATCTCATTCCTGTTACCCACAGGGTGATGCTGGGTATGGTGTGCTTATGGGCTGAAGGGCTGTGAGGTCCCTCTTGATCTCCAGGGGTGTCTGGTGGCCTCAGAAGAAGGTCTGGCACTGAATTAAAGGTGGAGGTGCTGCTCACCACCACCCCTCCTCCCTGGCCATATGGAAGGACCCTGATCTCAGAGGCAGTGTTGCTGTGTGGGGAGAGAACAGTCGTTCTCTTGTCATGCCAGTTGTCTCAAGCAAAAACAAACTGCATATGGGAGTGGGAAAAGGAGAGGAAACTCAGTTCAGATGAGCCCTCATTTGTGAGAAGCCTTTCTCCTGTCTGAAGAGCAGCCTGAACCATCCAGTGCTGGTTGTAAAGCCAGTGGGAGCAGCCCCAGGTGGACCCCAGCACGGGCAGGTGGTGGCTGAGATTTAGGATGTTCAGGTGGAATGAGGGTAACCACGTACAGCCCTGTGCCTTGTGAAGAGCCTGTGGGAGGCTTTTAAAAGTGGTTGTGTTTGAAAATGTGCTGTCACACACATCCACACAAAAATCCCCAAAATATTTGAATCTGCATAATCTCTCAGCAGAATTTTACTTTGGGAAATTTTTACTGGCCAAAATGAGTTGGGTTTGGAGGCAGGGTGGCTGGCACAAGCTTTTAGGGGATGGCTTTGCTTCATTCTGTGGCCTTATGTGGTTCAGCAAGCAGTGGCCAAAGGGACCTTCTCCCCAGGGTGCACGTGGCTCTGATCTCCCACTGGTACTGTGCAATTTGCTGGTGATAGCCTGCACCCCCTATTTCTTAAACAAACCCCAGATGTGTCACCCTGCAGCACTCTTCAGGCCACATGAATTCCCCATTTTAGCCTGGGCCTTGGCAGTTTGTGTGGATGTACTTAAACCTTCAGGTTTGCACAGTTTTTGCCCAACTGTTTGAGCCCTGACTTGATGTGGGCCTTTTGGAAAATACAGCCCTTTCATTTTGATGCTTTTTTTCCCCCCTCCCCTTTCCTCCTCATTAGCAGTTTCTAACAAATTAGTAGGCACTCCTGCATTAATCACCTCCAGGATCTTTCCATCTGTGGGCTTTAATTGAGTGTGACATAGTTAAGTTCCTCTCAGCAGCACAGCTCCTCAGGGCAGGGACAAGCCTGGGAGAAGCTGCACTTTTGGGTCTCATGGAAAGGGCAGCGGAGGTGCCAGGGGCAGATGTGACAGCTCATGGGCACAGGAGTGTCACTGCCCTGCCAGCTACCGGCGAGTGCTGCTGGGGGAAGGAAGCAGCATTAATATCTCATGTTTTACAATAAACACCCTGTAGCATTCCCTAAACATGCAGTGTTGTGGAAACATGGTGTAAGCGTGTAGTAACTGATAACACCTGCAGGATGGAGGGCCTGGGGCTGCACCCGGGGTCAGTGGTCATTCCTGGTGGGACACGTTGTCCCTTGCTGCCAGGGGATGTCCCACAGGGGCTGTGGGTCCTCAGGACCGTCCTCCACCCAAGTTGCAGAATAAATAAATGCAGAATACAGGAGGCAGTAAGGCTGGCAGGGACAGGCAGGGTGTGAGGAAATGAGGTGCGCTAGAGCTGTCACGGCCTTCCAGGGAGCTCATTTTGGATTTCAGCAGCCTGGATAGTTGGAGGTACAAGCCATGGGGACCAGGGGGTGTGTATTTGTAGCAGCCCATGCTTCACCTTGCATGGACTGCTGCTAGACTGAGGTCTAGGGGTGTTTGCTTTTTATCCCCTCGCTCGGGGGCAGCACTGCTGGGCAGCACCATTTCCATGGCTGACACACATGAATTTGGGGGGGAAGAGGGGGCTGTGCAAGCCAGGGGAGATCCCAACCCCTCACTAACTCTCTCCCTTTACCCCCACAGACTCACGCCTCACTATGTTTACCCCCAAGCAATCATCCAGCCCAGCGTGGTGATCCCTACCCCCGTGCAGTCCATCACGTCTCCCTACATCGACTACACGGCCGCCAGCCAAGCCTACTCCCAGTACACCACGGCTGCCTACGACCAGTACCCCTACGCCGCCTCGCCCGCCGCCGGCTTCGTGGGCTACGGCTACACGGGCACGGTGCAGCCGCCGCTCGCCGGCACGCCCGCCGCGCCCGCCGCCGCCTTCGTGCAGTACCAGCCCCAGCAGCTGCAGCCCGACCGCATGCAGTGAGGGCCCCCAGCCTGGACAATCTCTCACCAGGACAGCAAAACGGCAAAAAAAAAATATAAAATATATATATAAAAGAAAAGAAAACCAACCAAAAAAAAAATCATCAAAATCATCATCCCGCCCCTACCCGCCTCCATCCCTTTATCTCCCGTGTGTAGGTGCATATCGATGCCTAAGCTGTTTATAGTGGTGAGGGGGAGCCCAAATCCTTGCAGGCTGATTGTGCTTGTGGAAGTGGACTTCTGGTAAGTTTTTTTATCCCTTTTTTTTTTGGTTTTTTTCAATCTGGACAGATAACTGTCTTGAAGATGTTCTAAAAGCGGCTGAAATGTTTCACAGGAAAACGACAGATTCTTGCACATATCGCGGTCTGCTTCCATCACCTGTGGTTTTTCTGCCCCCTTCCCCATCAGCCCTTCCTTCCTCATCCAGCCTACAATCCTCTTATTTACTGGTGAGGTACAGAGGTACTCGGAGAACACGGAAAAAAAAAAGCAATCTTATTTTTTGGTTGTACAAAAACTTTGTAATACTCAGAGATGCCTTACAGAAAAAAAAAAAAAGCAAAAGAAAAACTATTTTTTAATATTTATTGCGATTTTATTCGCATGAGCTGTGAATTGCAGACAGAAGAATAGTAGTAAGTATCTGCCTTGTTTAATTCTCATTTTACTAAATTATTGTATGTAGGTAAAAGTTCTTAAGTAATTGCTGAATCACTTCAACATGCAAAAGGGAATATTGGCTTGAAGGAGAGCAGAATATTCCTTTAGTCAACGCACTGTACTATTTTCTTATTGTAATTGTTACTCTGTTAAGATTATCTCAAATTTAGGTATATTTTTAAATGCAAAAAAACAACCAAGAATACTGAACATTTTGTCTACTTTGGTAGATCTTTTGTTATAATGCTGCAACCTATGGAGACATTTACAGTATTTATGTAAAAGAGATTTGGGGCTGTTGGCCAGCAAGGTTTAGGAGAATATCACGAGTGGAGCAATAGAGAAAAAGGTGTTATGTCACTGAACAAATGGGTAAATGTAACCTTTTTATGCCTGTAATCCAACAGCCAAATAAAGGAAGAGAACAGGCAATGTAAGTGCATTTCTACAAAGACAGCAATAAACTATTTTAACTTTTAAGATTATTCAGTGCTGTATTGGTACCATGTTTGCCTGGCTGCAGTGCCTTAGGGAGTATTTCCCAGCCCACCTGGTCTGGCCGTGCTGGGCTTCACCCTCGAGTGTGCCAGCGTGGGCTGGGGGATGTCCTGTGGCAGGAGCCCCTCCTGCCGTCCTGGCGGGCATCAGGTGCTGCCACCATCCTGCAGCGTGTCCCACTCTGCCCTCAGGGGCACCTCGGGCTTACCTCAGGGTTTCTGAGCTCACAGAACCTCGTGGGCTGGTGCCAAGCGCTTCCTCACGCTGCGTGGAGCAGAGGGTGGGAGGTGCTGCCGTCCTGGTGCAGCTCCAGAGGCAGTAGGGGCAGATGGGATCTCATCCCAGAGTTTTTGGGCCATCACTTTCCTTCTGTTGTTTGCTTAAAGTACGTTGGGGGTTATTTTTCTAAAACTTAATTTTTCTGAAAGAGAGTATCTGCCTGAGCCCTGTCCTGGTTAAGGGGATTTGGTGGTACCAGGCAGGTGCCAGCAGCAGAGAGACTTCCACCCCTGAGCCTCATTCGCTGCTCTGGTGCTGCATTTGACTTCCCCCAACCCACCTGCTTTAGAAGTTTGGTGTTCAGATTTTGACAATGACAAACTTCAAGAATTAATCTGTACAAGTAAATAAAATGACTCTGTTTGATCATGCCAGTTACCTGGTTCATCTCCATAAAGGCCACAGCAGGCCAGGTGCCAGGAAGGGCCGTGTTTTTGGCACCAGCATCTGCTGCTGGTTCAGGTGGTGATGCCTGAAGCAATCCTGGGGGGAGAGGATGAAAGCAGAGGCAGTTCAGCACTGTGGCTGCCCTTAAATGCCCACGGTGGGCATGTGTAATGTCATCGGTAGTCCTTGGAGTAAAGAACCCGTCCTGATGAATGGAAACAACTCGCTCCTGCCGTGCTTGTGTTGTGTGAGAACGCAGATCCTGGTGGGGCTCTGTTCATCCTGCCCGGGGTTTTGCTTACAGCCATGTGGGTGACATTTATTTCCTTTTTAAGTAATTACTTTCTGGAGAGGCTGTGGGGCTGCCAGAGGAGTGAAAGCCGAGCGCTGCATCCAGCCTGGCCCGGGCCCTGCCTTTGATGTGCTATCGGGGCTGGAGATTATTCAGCAATTCTTCTTTCTCCCTGTCAGGAGAAGGGAAGGGAGGGGAGGATTTTTGGATGGGGGTGCTGGGGGTGGCTGGGGAGCCCTTGGCCCCAGCCCAGCAGCACTGAGGTGCCCGGGCACAGGCAGTGGTGCCTGGCACTGCTGAACTGGGATTTTGTCTTCAGCCAGGGACACGCATCTCCCCCGCTCAATGGGACAACAAGGCTGCTGAACATGGGTTTGTTGTTGAAAAACTCAGGTGTGCAGTGCACTCTGAAGTGAAAAGAGTGATGATTTTCCATCCAGCTGTCTGATTTCCTGAGAGGTGGCCAAAGTGCCAGGCAGCAAGGGCGCAGGCGGCACTCCCAGCCGTGTGCCATTCCTGGATCCCGCTCAGTTTCGCTCCGGGCTCATTTCGAGAAACAGCCACATGAAAACAGCAGCCCAACCTGCCTCCTTCCTGTTTGCAACAACCCAGTTGTGAAACTGTGATCCTGAGCTCTGCCATTGCCCCTGCCGTGCTGCCAGGTGCTGCTGGGAGCCTCTGGAAAGGAGCCCAAGCACTTCCCTGTGCTCTGCTGGGCTGGGAAGGTGGGGAGAGCTCAAAGGGTCGCTGTGTTAGAAGGACAAGAGCTAAACTGCAGAGTACCAGCAGTGGGCTGTGGGTGAGAGGCAGAGGCTGCCTGGCTCCTGACTGATCAGGGTGGCACAGGGCAAGGGCTTAAATTACTTTGAAATTGCTTAAAAGTACAATTTTTTTTTTAATTTTTCATTTTTTTAGTGCATTGCTTATTGGAGCATCCTCTTCCACCTCCTTATGTTGTCCCAGCACAAAAAAAGCTCATTCTGGGCAGCTCATCTCTGCCCCAAGGGAGGGGACAAGCAGGGGGCTCACAATGCTGGTTTTAAAAGCTTCAGTGAGCCACAGGGACCAGGAGGAGTGGCAAGGGCTGGGTGGTTTTGGCAGCACACCTCTGGCAGCACCATCTGCTTGGCGGGTTCCAGGGTGGGACCAGCTTTGGGGGCCAGATCTTGTCCTGGGCACATCCCTGTGGCCATGCTGGCAGCTGACCCAGCCCAGGCCACCTCTCAGCAGCTGTGCCCACATGCCCAGTCATTTGCATGACAAATTCAAATACTTTTTATAGGAAACCATCACACTGGGGCTGTCAGGAGGAGGTTTGGCTTGCGTGGGCTGGGGCATGTGCAGCCCCTGTGCTGTCACGGGGAAGTGTCACCATAAATACCAGTGCTGGGGTGCTGGTCATCACCTGGATGAACCCAGCCACAGTCTGGCATCATGTCCTGGCATCATCTTTTCCACCTGGCAGCAGTGAGTGACATACCGCCCTGTAGCCCAGGGTGGCTGCTGCCAGACCTTCCCCACTTGCCTGCCATGAAAGGGGATGCCTTGGGTGAGATTTCTGCCTTTTCCAGGCACTCCCTCTCGCTGGGGTGTCCCCTGGCACAGAGGCACAGCCAAGGGCTTTGCTGCCTGAATCTGCTTTTGACGAGGAGCAGGGGGTGCCCAGCCCACACCTCTGCAGTGCTCCCCACGCTGTCCCACCTTGTCTGGGGGACACTTGGGCACCCCCAGGGGCTCCTGTCAAGGTCCAGAGCTTTGCAGTGGCACCCCCTGCCAGTGGCTATGCCCAGGACAGGATGGGAGCACTGGGGGCACTGCCAGCCCCCACAGCCCAGCTCCCCTGGCTGACAAACCCCAAAACTTTGCACTGAGAGGGAAAGGCTGAGCACACTATTTATTTGCATAGTAACTGGGCTGCTGTTGGCACTTACCCTTTAAAACAGAGCTGACAGCAAAATGTTTTACCCCCTCAAATACAGGGAATGCTAACAGCATCCTTTTTTTTTTTTTTCTCATTCTCTCTTCTGGCTGAAACTTGTTTTTCCCTCCTTTGTGCCTCTCTGAATCCTGCCAGCATAGAGATTCCCTTGTTCAGAGAGTAAAAAAAGAAGAGGGAGCAAAAAAAAAAAAAATAGAAAAAGAAGAACTTAAGCCTGGGATTAAAAACCATCACTAAAATAGTCTGAATAACAAAGTCAACTGACTGGCCGGGAACCCGGTGAATGCCTGTCACGTATCGCCCTTGGCCGGGCACGGCCACGTGTGGCACGAGATAGTTCCTGGAAAAGCTTCTGCCCAGCCTGATAGACCTGTGCCTGCTGATACTGCTGCACCCACTCCTGCAGGGCTGTGGGAAACTTCCTGACACGGGGATAAACTGTGGGGGGAATAAATAAATCTCCCCTGGGTACCAAAGGTGTTGGGTGTTCTTGAGGCTTTTCCACCCTCATGGTCCTGGCACACTGGGCCAGCAGGACTCTCTGCCCTTACTGATGTATTTAGCAAGGGACTTTTTGGTGAGTTTGTGTTTTTTTTTTTCCCTACACAGTTTTTTCACATAGTTTCAGCTGTATAAAGAATCCAAAAATGGGACCTTGCATGAAGTAAAAGCAGAGGGTTTGTACCTCCCCCAGGCAGAGCCAACCCAGCCACGTCAGACACATCGTGTCCCCACACCCGTGGAGTGTGTTACTGTGGGGATTTGTACCTAAAACCAAACCTAAATAACAGTTTTATCCTCTTGCTGACTCCAGCAGCACAAACCTGAGAGCAGAGAGATGCAGCAAAGCCCAGCGCCAGGAATGATGGCTCAGATAAAGCCACACAGTGTGGGAGGGCAATTAAAGACTCAGATTTATTAGCTGTGTGCCCATGCTCAGGAGGATGATGAAGCAGTTGGAGATGGAAAAGTTGGTACTGGAAAGGTCAGAGATGGAGGCTTCTGAGAGAATGAATCAATGAGCGCCCGAAATCCCAGGAGCCAATTTTTAAAAGCATTTGCCCAATAAAAGTGGAGACTGTGGCCTTTTATAAATCAGCCAGGAACATGCCTTGGTTTGAAAATAGCACTGAGCATCTTATTACATGTTTAACACCCAAAAGATCTTTTAAAATCAGCTCATTGAAGTGGCTCCTGTTCGTGGATAAACGGGGGGTCAGTGTGTGCAGACACCCACAGACATTTGTGGTCTCCTGTAGCATCCACTGGTGTGTTTGCATGAGCTGCTGACATGGGAGCACCTTAAACAAGCCCTGAACACTGCAAAATGAAAGTGAAATTAAATAAATGAGTCATGCCATTAGTCTCCTGTGAGCTGGCTTTAAAATTAGCAGGTTTTAGACATAAACATGGTAGAACGAGCCCTGAGGGGAAGAAAAGTTCTCCAAAAACCACATCCTACCTTCTTTTCAACAGTGCACACTGCTCTTTATTTCATGCCACTTTAGTAAGGTAAACTAATTTGGTTTCCTGTTTCCAATGAATTTTATATGTAGAAAAACATTTATATTATATACATTATAAATCTGATTAGAAACATGTATGTATGAACAAACACGTGGTTTTTATCAGTAGCTGTGTGCATTTGTGTGTGTATATCAAAGAATACACATAAATGCCTTATTTAAACTGTCATTTTAACTTTTGCTTCACAAATCCTGGCTCCTGAAGATGCCAGGTGAACCGCAGTTTAGAAGATAATTTAAAATGAGAAGCATAACATAACAGCAATACACATTTAATGGCTGGTAGCACAAGCTAATCTGGGGCAAAACCCTGTCCTGGACTGAGCTCAGGCTTCAGCAGACTGGGAAAACCAGTAAAAATATCCCATGTTGGTGTGAGAGCCACGCCTGGAGATGGGGCAGAGCCCAGGGGCATCCCCCATCCTTTTGCCCACTGCTGCCATACCTGTCCAGGCAGTTTCACTCTGTCTGTCTGTTTTTCTGCATTCCCCTATGTCCTCCTCAATCCACGAGCACTTCAGCCTCAGTCTGCTCAGCCCAGAATATAGATATTTTGGGCATCTG